AGAAAAAAAAGGATAGCACTTATTTTACATTACACTGAAGCATGGAATTATTTTATGCACAATCAAGTAGGTAAAAGACAGTGATTGTCATTAATAGTATTATCTTGTATTGGCTGAACCTACTTCAGAAGCAATTTAATGTAAGACACAATTTCCTTGAGAGAAACTCATACCTTTAAATACCCTCATCACCTGAATTGTGAGCAACAGCTAGCATGTACCTATTTATTGAATTTCGATGTAATTTCATTATTATAACAGTTAATCCAATCACTTCAACACCTTTTTGAAAATACATCTCTATGACAAAAATTGATAGAGGTTGAATGTATTCTCTGTTTTCTGCCTGACTCTTGTTAAGTCAGTCACATTTTGTTCCATGCATTGATACTCCTAATTTGGAATTGCAGGTGAATAGAATTAGCCATAATTATTATTGAGACATTTCCATATTCTAGAATATTAAAAAGAAAAGAAGTATCTTATCAGAAAAACTAAGTATTCACCTCCCAATAACATAAGTGCTTTACCTCAGTGTTTAATGTTTTCAATTATTCTCACAAAGACAATTTGAAAGTTACCCTTTAAATGACTGTGACAAAAGATCTGTGGTACATGTACACAATGGAATACTGCTCTGCCATAAAGAGGAAAAATTTGCCCTTTGAAATAGTATGGATGGACCTAGAGAACATGATGCTAAGTGAAATAAGCCAGTCATAGAAAGACAAGTACCATATGATTTCATTCATATGTGGAATTTAATGAACAAACTGAACTACCAAGCAAAACAGGAATTCGGGGTGGGAGAGAAGGGTGGAGGGATTGAGCAAAAAAGATTCAAAAAAAGAGAGGACTCATGGACATGGATAACAATGTGGTGATTGGGAGAGTGGGAAGGGGATAGGTGAAAGTGGAAGAGGGCATAGATGGGATAAATGGCGATGGAAAAAATAAAATAAAATAAAATAAAATACTGTTGAAACATTTAACTTTTTTTTAATGAACATTTTAATAGCTTATATTCTTGGGTTTTCTCTGTTAAAATAAAAACAGTATAGCAGAGAGAATTAAATACCACTTCATTATTTGACTTTATTAATATAGCTTTTCCACTATCTTTATTCAATCAAATTTATATCTCTACCACTCTACTTAAAATGTCCTTTCCCAAAACACTGCTAATTATCTTACCAATTCCTCTGTTTCCTTGATATTTTCTCAAATATTTCTTAACCCCTTTCCAGCCTTTCAGGATTTTTTCATACCTTTTGCCACCATCCCCTTCATAAAATATCTTCTTCCATTTAGTAACTATTGCCATTTTTCCTTGGACCTGTTCTGACCACAGGTTCTTGGGCTCTTTCACTAGTATTTCTCCAATAGCAGCCCTCTAAATCCCAACATTCTCTATATAATATTCTTGCCCCTCTTTTCAATACTTTTTTCTTCTTTTAATGATCCCTACAATAACCACACCTTAAAATATCATATATTTATAGAGTTGCGAGCCTACACATCAGCCTTACTCTTTCTCCTAAACTACCCACCCTTTCATTGTTTCCCAATAAATCTATTCATCTTAATAGATTATTGCTACCTCAAGTTTAGTATATCTAGAATTAAACTGATAGTCTTTTTCTCCAACCCCAAGAAACCTACTCTTACTTCTTTCATATTCTCTGTCTCAAGTAACTGGGTGCAGACATGGTAGAGATCTTAATAGCATTAGTTTCTCCTTTCCTTGGCAGACACTGTGACCCCTGTGCTCTAAACCTCAACTAGAATTCTACAATGTGACCTCCCAGTCCTCCCCTATTCACCCTTCACTACATCTTCAATGATCTTTGTTTTGCTCCCCTTTGCCTCTCAGTCACTCTTTTACTGACCCTTTTTAGCCTCTTAACCTCTCTCTCTCCATTCTGGGCAAAGAATAAGTCAATACTTTGCTCAAGATTCCAATGGCTTCCACCTGCTTAAAGGTTAAGCTCTAATATATTTTCCATGATTTTAAAGTTTTCTTACATTCTTCCCCCAACTGAACTCATTGGCATTAAGTCCATTCATTCCCACCAAATATCCTGGACTTGAGCTACAGTACTTCCAAGACCTAGGAATGTTGTCATGACTGTCGTTTTTATTTTCTCTTTCCTCTGCTTGGAATGAGCTTCTACTCCTCCCTGAGTAAAAGATCTAGCTCATCCTTCAAAATCCAGATCAACATTAGCTTTTCTTTGAAAGCCTCCACAACCCCCTTTATCAGCTACACAACCTCTCTGCTCTCATAGTGCTTCATTAAAGTATGGTGTGCCATGATATAATTGTTCTATATGTACAGTATTATTCAACTATGAGTTTCTTGAAGGTAGGGATGACAATAGCCTAGATAGCTTCTACTACCACAGTAACTTCATAAAAATCACACAGTGAGTCATCAATAATTTTTTGTTGTGGGTTGACAATAACTTTCATTTAATATACAACTTACTTTAAATTTTCATATAATATATATAGTATACATGTCATAAACTTCACATACTATGCTCATGTATATATTATATCTATGCATGTAAATACACTATGTGTATATATGAATATATGCGTGTTTATGGTATATGTCCATGTACATACATTTAAAGCAATTTCAGGCTGACAAGGCCCTTGGATATCATCTTTTCTAATTAATGAATATTACAAAATAGGAAACCAAGAACCAAATGACTTTGGCACTAAATGACTTTGCCAATGTTCTATAGCTTGTTCTTGGTGAACACAGTGTTAGAGTTCCTATCCCAGTTTCTCATTCTATGTACTTTTCACTATATCACTTCAGAGATGTCACCAAGAATGTGACACACACACCCCTATAATCTGCTATACCAAGACCAACCTTTCCCCAATGGAATAGATATCCTGGACTGTCTCACCTCATTTTCTCCCCCAATTCCCTTTCTGGGTCTTCATTTTCATCAAGTGAGAAACACTCATGATTCTGTCATCTCAGTATTTTCATTTTCAATGTATACCTCCCCTTCAAATATTCCCTATTCCTTTTATAGATATGGTAATGTCTCCTTTCCCTCTCAAAAACAAGAAAGAGGTCATTATTTTGTTCTCCAGTTTCATTCAGTTTTGTTTTTTTTACCAAACCAAGGGTCACCATTAAAAAGATGTCATTACCATCCTCTTCATATAGCTTATTTATGTCTGAACATGAACATAACTTTGGAGTTTACAGATTACTTCTCATAACTCACTCATTTGCTCTTCATAACTTAGGATAACACTATGAATAGTCAGAGAAGGTATCATCATATTTATATGCAGCTGAAAACACGGAGGGTCAAAAGTAAACTGCCAACATTCCTACAGCTAGCAAGAGCTGAAACTGGTGCTGGAACCAAGGTCTCCATATCCTTGCTCCTGACAGCTTTCCACTATTTTTAACTGTTTACTGGCTTGTGTTCCCACCATGACATTTATGTTGACATATATTGGCACCTCAGTTCCTGCACGTGAATGTTGCCTAGACTCTTCTTCTATCTGAATAACTTCTTGGCTCTTGTTATTTTAATAGCACACATTTCAACCAGCCAAGTACTATTTTGTCCAAGCTCTTACCAAGTATCCAAATAATACCATTTAATAGAAATTATAGTTCGGTTATTGTTTGTTATTATGACTGAGCTTCTGAAAAGTAAAACCATGGCTTTAGCTAAATTAGAGATCGTCAACTATTTGTTTTAAATTGAAATTAATTAATGTGATTTTATCTACATCCACTCATCAACTAATCTGTAAACTGCAAGTGTTAAGGAGAATGGCTAACACTAATCCAAATGGCTTTTCTAAAAACGTGCGTGTGTGTGTTTCATCCAAGATTGTAAGGCAAGTTATGTAGCTTTAAATCCATTTCTGTTCAATCTAAGTTGTTGGATTGGATAGATGCAACTTCTTTAAAAATTCGGTATAATTGTAGAGCAGACTGATCTGTGTAGCAAAGGGCTACAGACCACTGAAGTAACTTGTTTGCAATCCCATGATGAAAACATACATTCTCTCCCTCCTCTCTACTGCATCCTTCTCTTAATATTTAGGCATTGCCAAACATTGATCCCTAGCCTTAAGCAATAAGCACAGTGTTTCTCACTTCACTCTGATAAGCATCACAAGTTTCAAGTCCGCTAAAGAATCCTCAGTGTCCTTTGGAGAAGGAAGGAGCAGCTGGGGAGGGGGTAGTCATCCCTCACTCTATTGTTTTCCTGCCTGTCACTGCCCTACCAGGACCTCTAGTCAGCACATACCCAGGAGGTTCAGATGGACAAGTCATTCGTTGCTGCTTTTGTCGGTTGAAAACAAGGCAAAAGAATTCTCCAGACAGAAAAAGTTTAAACCTTAAACATCCTAACAATTGTGCACTTTAAAAATCCCGCAATTCACTGGGTAAGAAATGAGCTGCACCTGGTCTCCGTGAGCTCATTGGAGCCCCGGCTGCGGGTTAACTGTCAGAACTGCCCTTGTTTGGCTTGTTTCCACGTGTCCCACAAATCACAAAGCTATACTTGGCAAATTCGATCCTATAACCGTCTGCATCATGGCACTGAGCAAACAGTTTGCCTCAAGACAGAGTAGAGACCGGGGCTAAACTGTCTGCTGGCTCTTTGCTAGAAATAGATTTAAGAAATTCATAGCAGAATGAGAACCCAGAGGTTAAAAATACTGCACTTCATCGAGAAAGTGCAGCGCAGGTTGCCCTTATTAACTGCAGAGCTGCGAGAGCGAGCTCATTCCAGGGGCTCACTAATGCCTCTTAGTTGTTAGGTTTCTCTTTCCAAATAGCATCGGACATGACCCAATTTACTTCCTCCGATCATACTTGTATCTTAGGAGCCCAGCACTCCCGGAACATCCACAGCACAGGGGGCCCTCCTGAAGCCCTGCAGTTTGCTGTGTGGACCCAGATGTGAAGATGGGGAGAAGGGGAACTCCGTCCCACTTACCAGTCTTCCACAGATAGAGGGTGGGTGCGTCCACCTCGCCCGGCGCCGCAGCCCCGCAGGCGCCCAGGCACAGCAGCAGCAGCAGCGGCGGCGGCGGGAGCAGCTGCCGGACGCCCTGGCACCGGCCCGCGGCTCCCGGGCCCCGGGACGCAAAGCGCCTCGTTCGCAGCTCCATGCCGCTCGCGGCCGCTCCAGGGTCCGGATCCCGAACACGGACGGCAGGGAATTTTTCTGCGCCCTCCGAGTGTCTTCCCAAGGAGTACAGAAGGCAGAGCTCTGCCCTGCTATTGTTCGTTTCCCACGAAAAGGAGGGAAAGCTCTTTTAACACCAGGGAACAATAGCGTCCGTGGTGGCCGTGGCTGCCGCCGCCACCGCCGCTGGCGCGGATGCTGCCGCGGCTGCCATTCCGCGCACAGTGGCAAGTCCTAGTGGTGAGGGAGAGGGCAGCAGCCGTCTGCAGGGGGCCCCAGCTGACGGAGCAGGTCCTCCAGGTCTGGGAGCTGCGCAGCACCCGACGCCAGCTGGAGGGGGTGGGGGGAGCATGAGCCCAGCGAGGGAGAGGGGGCTGGAGGTGGGGGTGGGGGGAGAGAGCCAGAGGGCGAGAAAGGAAGCGAGCGGAACAGAGAGGGGGCGACCAGATGCAACATACCCGCCCAAAGAACTCCCATGCACATGGTGTGATGATATATGTTTGGAAGGCTACACTAGTAAAAGGAATCATCATCCGACAGGCTCCATCGTGACAAATAGCAGGCATTGAAATTCCTCGTCACCCAACGAGTCAAATGCTAGATCGAGTGGTATGTTCTTCTTAGGGTACATGTACACAAAGCATTCGTGTTTGTCATTTATTTTAACCGGTATCTTCTGAATCACTTTTTGAGGGAGGAGTACTTATGATCAGATGTGAAACAAAACAAAACAAAAACAAAAACAGTAAAACAACAGAGGTGTTTACTTGCTGCTGAAATATGCTTAACCACTTTTTTAAGTGTTTTTTTTTAAATCTGTTCTCAAAAATATGAGTGATATTGATCTACTCTGACAAATCAAAGTACATTGTGTTTTAATATTTTTAAAATAGAATTAGTATGCAGTAAGTATTCACAATACTATCTAGTTATATAGTTTTACTAAAACTAATCAAAAATAGTATTTCAGATATGGAGTAAATAAAAATGCTAGTCCTTTATCTACTTCTTTTTGTCCAAAATAGGCTGCCTTTTCACTTATGAGTAAAATTAAAGGGAAAACTAAGTTTTTGTGTGTGTGTGTGTTTTGTTTTGTTTTTTGATAGCTCCAAATCAGTAAATTCTTTACTTAAAAATCCCTGGCACTAATTTGTCTGAACTCTTAGTGTAGAAAAATATAATCTAAATTACCTCATGGGTTTGGGTCTTTTGTTCTTTGTGTTTTCACTTTCTTAAACTAGTAGTAACAGAGGAATGTATGTGAAGTCCAATAATGCTTTGCCCTTTCTCTTTCTTCTCCCCCCCCCCCCCAATTATGACCTTTTATATAGCTCATTTCCTAGTAAAGCTAAAATAATAGCAAGGCATTTAGCCCATTAAAAACTCTGCAAACAGAAAGCCAAAGAAAACTATTCACATCTGTCATCAATATTTGGCCAAATAAAATAAAATTTAAAAAGCAGGAAAACTGCTTTTATGAATGTACTCCATCAGCAGAGCCAACCCAAGAGCTGACATTGTAGAAGCTACTGTTTCTGAAAAAGGAAACCTTCCATAAAGCTCTCTTGGGACGCCTGTCATTTTGCAGATCATTCCAGACACAGTCCTTCTGCGTGCATTAGATTAAGGGCAGGTTTGATCAAATAATTTCCAGATCCTGCCTGTTTAAGTATTCTGACATCAGAGGAAATTAGCAACGATGAAGGTTGCAAATTCCTTCTTTGTTTACTTTCCACTCTGTTAGGCCTCTAGGAGGGAATTAAAAGCTCAGCGAGCCCTAGCTATGTGAGTCTGTGATTAGGAGAGATAAGCTAATTCGGATTACTCTTTCTTCACTGGTGAGAAACAGGCAACAATCAAAAGATTATGGGTTGATCTTAACTAATGTATGGCTCTCTGAAGGAGTACACCAAGCAAGAAACAGTTACTACACCAAAGAAAATAGGGCCTGCTTGGTTTTATCCTCTTTGGGAAAACTGCAATGCCACTAATGGCAGTGTTCTCCTATCCTGTTTGTTTTTATTTCTCAGCTAGCAAGGGCTCTAAACCCTAAAATCCAGTAACTGGCACAGGGAGGATTTCATACCAGAAGTACTCTGTTAATATCAGCCCATGCTAAGCATTCTTGGGAAGTCCAAATCAATTCACCAAGTAGAAACTCAATAAGAACAGAAGACAGAGAACTAAGGAGTCTACTTAGTACAATTTAATATACAGGATAATTACTTAGCCCTTTGAAAAGTCATCAGAAGCTCTATACTTAATAGCTTAATGTCAAAAGAAAATTGAAGATTCTAATCTTTATATTTATCCATGGTTGTATAATAATTGCTCAATTGGGAAAAAAGTTTAAACATTGTAGCCACAATTTCAAGCATTCTACTTAAGAGCCAGGGGCCACTTCTAAATCAAAATTTGCTGCCATTTAAAATACACAACCAGAGTGAATATTCTGCAATACTGTTTGAAAATAGCCAACAACTGGTTTCCTTCATTGAATTCCAATTTATACAAGGCTTAAGGATCACACACAAACATACACTACACAATCAGTCAGCAGTGAAGACATCTCTGGACAAGGTTACAGAAACTAAGTCATACAAACATCTGTCTCCACCACTGCCACCTATCTGTTCTATAACAATGTCATTATTACACTTGAGGACAAAAACGTATGGGTCTCTGAGGAGACACAAGCGATATATATATTCAGATACATGCTCCTTTGTGAAAGCTATAGTGTCCAGCTGGGTAAATCCTATCAATAAAACTGATAGGCGGCAAAAGAGAGCAAGACATAGCATTCTTTGTTTTCTAGAGTATGATATAAATAACGTACAAATGCTTAATGACATGATGTCAAAATTTAGTCATGAGAAGTCCCAAGGATGCAGATTAAATTGACCATCTGTACAGCCTGCCATGAAGTAAATCGTTCATCATTTTTCATGAAGAACTGTTCACGTATTAATGAGCCAGGGCTATAAAACTTTTCCAAACCAATGGATGAAAAATGCAAAGCATATTTTTTAATGTTTAGAAATGAGACAATTCTGAACCTATCACCTCTCATGTGGTATCCTTTCATCTGTCTTTATTATTTTTCTATCATTTCCAAACTCCAGAGAGTGGGGGAGGGTATGTACATATCTATGCACATGTTTTCTCTTTTATTAGAGGACATGAACATATAAACATATTTCATAACTCGTAAGACATATGGATAATGATGTTCAATGATTAGTATCAATATTAAAATCAATCATCAAAAACTCAATTACTTGATAGAGGAAAAGCTTTTGATATCATCAGTTTTTATGAATAAAAACAATAAGTAAGTGAAGAAATATACAGTTATTCATAGATAGAGTGTTATGTAGGGTAGTGTTGAACAATGTCCATTTTGAAACAAAAATTTTAAATATTTTTCTCTACATAAATGCATCTTGCCTTATTTAAGGAATTCTGTTTTTGTGGCCTCTAGGTGTCATACTTGACCAAGATTTAGGGTAGACGAAATTTATTTTGGGCTTTTTTCTATTCCCCACTTCTTGCCACACCCACCAAATTATTAAGAGATAAAAAAATTTAACTTTTTAGTTTTGTAATAAGTAGCCCTAGATTTTATTTTCTCTCCCAAATCTGACTAACAGTCAACTTCTATATTCCTTTTCATGTATTTTACTTTATAATGACTTTTCTTTGTTTTGTTTGTTTGTTGGCTGGTTGGCTAGTTTGCTGGTTTGTAGGTATGTGTAGTGAAGGGAGAATGGATTCTAAATTTCAGATTGTTTCACAGAAATTTAGTCCCATGGTTTCTCCATTTTAATCAAAACTAAGCCTGTTTGGAAACAATAAGAATCTGCCGCAAACAGTTGGACCCCTTGTTTTGAATATCACGTAAAAATGTAGAATACTTTGGTTCAGATCCTTCTAAGGGTTGAGGAATGATCACTCACTGTAAATCTTACAATAAGGATCCCATCATATATGGTATTGAGACTTTAGTAGTCCCTGGTACAAGGTAATAGCAGAGTGTTAAAAAATGTCACCAGTGGTGACTTGGGAGACTGTTTCTGTAGAGAACACCCAGGCAGAAGGGATTAGCCGAAGAACATGTATGCATAAACCATGGACACAGGCAGCAATGTGGTGATGGTCAGAGGGAAGGGGGGATTAGGTGGAAGGGAGTAAAGGGGATGAAATGGGGACATCTGCATAGTGTCAACAATGAAAATAAAGAAAAGTACAGAGGCACAAAGTATATAAGCATAACAGAATTCACTAGTATAATCACCAGTTGTGTTGATGCCCTACAAATGTATAATGAGAAGGTACAGGCCTTTAACAAACAATTGAGAACTCCAGGAGTCCTTAAAAAGAGATTCTTGCCCCCTGCAGTAGCAGAGTAAAAAAAGTGAAAGAAAAGTGAAAACTTAAAATTGACAACTGCAATGATGATTGAATGATCAACCAGGCAGGTTTGTTATGCTAAGATCAGGGTTCTGCTTTGGGACAAGTTTGTCTGGGTGGATGCCCCAAACTCTTTGACTCCTAAGACTCCCCTGAACTCTCTACGGCTTAAGGCTTCAGAGGCAGCAAACCCTATTAAGAATGGGCACCTATGCCATAGCCGGTTTTACTCAGTGGACAGAGCATCGGCCTGCAAAATGAAGGGTCCTGGATTAGATTCCAGTCAAAGGGACCGTACCTCGGTTGCAGGCTCAATCCCCGGCCATGGTTGGGGCGCAAGCAGGAGGCAACTAACCAATGTGTCTCTCTCACATCGATGTTGCTCTCTTTGTGTCCCTCACCCTCCCTTCCACTCTCTCTCTCTAAAAAAAAAAATAGTAATAATAAGGGGTGCGCACATCTTCCCTGCTGGGCCTGCTCCACCTGTCTCCTAGTTTGCAGGCTGATAACTAGAACTCAGCCTAGCATATGATGCCGGACCTTAACAAACTACACAGCAAAGAAGCTTCAAAAAGTAGCTAGGTTATGTATACACAGAAGTTTAACAACTTTCCCATGTAGTTAGTGATGAGTTTGAAAGTCACAGGATACCATGATTTCCATATCCATTTTGTTTTGTCCAAATTAGAGACAGCTTTCTGAAAATCAGTGATTCTGTAGAGAAACTGTGCTCTGAAAAAAACAAACACAAATACTTGTCTAACTTGAATTTATGTATAGCACAAGGTCTATAATAGATACATGACAAGTACTTGTGAAAAGAAGGAAATAATTTAAATAAATATTCATATTCCTAAAATTTTAAATTGTTTTTTTAATTTAGTAATTAGAAAGGGGAA